TTTTTAAAGGCTAATTTCATTCCAGAAAGTTTTCAGTAGGGGCTTTTTTTCATCTAGTTTTTTTAACTAATGATAGCTGCTTTTTCAAATTTAAAAGTGGATGAAATGTCAAATTAAAAAAATTGGGAGAAAAATTACTAAAACTACTTTTGTAAGATATTTTCTTTTTTATGAGCAGCTCTTGTAAACAGGAACTTCTTCAGCTAGAAATGGATATCAAAGGCAGGCTGCATGTACCCTGGGTCAAACTGTCTCCTCAGCTACACCTATGCAACTACCCAAGATGTTTAGTGGGAATTGCATGTTTTTACTGGAGCGAATTTGCCCATTGCTAAGCATAACTAAGAATAACTACTGCTTTTGCCTTTTCAAAGACTGAAGAAGGGAATTTATTAAGTGTGAGCTGTGGCTGACATGTGACATCAATAGGTAACTTTCTACACTCCTCCATATTTATCTATTATTCTCAATATTAATTCACATGCAATTAGAGTTGGGGGCGGAACAAGACCTGGGATTTGGACACTGTAGCCTTAAAACCTCTCTGTATAACAGGCCTGAGCCAGACACTGAATATGAGTCCCCAAAGCATGGGAAGGCTGCAGTTCGTAGGATAGGGCCCATCTTTGTGATGACTCATGGAATAAATGACAGGTGTTTCAGGGCTACCCTAAATCTCCCTCAAAAATCAATAAATACAGAAGTTAGGCTTTCTGTTCCCAATAGCATGTTACTATGATTAGGTATTTCAGCACATGCAAGACATAAGATCTCCCTATATGAGTGTGATATTCCCCTCTGGTGTTGTCTGGACCAGTGATCTGCTAGGCCACTTCAATCCTTGACTCTGGGAGCCAGCCTTACCCTGCTCTGCTGTGAGAACCCTTACTCCTGGGCTATTCACGCACAGCCTCTGGCGTGTAAGCTGCTCCCAGCTACTTGCAAGCGAATGACACTAGCCAATATCTCTGGTCCCAGAGACAACCCTAGGAACCTCCGTCTCGCAGTGTCCAGTTATGTCCGCTGGACACTGCAAGCTTATATGAGTTTGTCAATTTAACAAAGAAATTGATATGTACCAGGCTTGTTATCCAAAGGGGAGCTGCTGACACACTTCAAACCAAACACACTATTTCAGGTAGAATAAACAAACAAATTTATTAACTACAAAGATAAATTTTAAGTGATTGTAAGTCAAAGCATAACGAGTCAGAGTGGCTACCAAAAGAAAAGAAAATATAAGCACACAGTCTAAACTCTCAACCCTGGGCAGCAACTAGATTAAGCAGTTTTTCTTACCCCACTGGATATTGCAGTCCTTAATATACAGGTTTGTTCCTTAAACCTGGGCCAATCTCCTGTGTTGGAGTCTTGTCTTCTTTGCAATGTCTTGGTTGCTTGCAGCTAAAGTGGGGGCAGGAGAAGGGCCCAGTATGTGCCCCCTCTGTCTGTTTTATACCCTCAGTCCATGTGCTTGTAGAACACAAGTCCAAGAATGTCTGTGGGGCGTTGCTGATGGCTGATCTGCACTGGCAATGCTAAAGCGCTGCTGCGGCAGCGCTTTAACGTGCCTTGTGTGTTTGCGCCGCAGCGCTGGGAGAGAGCTCTCCCAGTGCTCTAAAAAAACCCACCTTCACGAGGGGCGCAGCTCCCAGAGCTGATGCACTGTCTACACTGGTGCTTTGCAGCGCTGAAACTTGCTGCGCTCAGGGATGTTTTTTCACACCCCTGAGCCAGAAAGTTGCAGTGCTGTAAATTGCCAGTGTAGACAAGCCCTGAGTCTCTCCAAGCAAGGTTGAGCAATTCCCCTGGTGTGGCCTCATGCAGGTGAGTCATTGCATTGTAGCCCCCTTGCTGGGCAATGGCTGTTGATGGGTTGTTTGACACCCTGCCGGGGCATTTGTTACTTTCCTTGCTATTGCCTCCAGGGGGCTAATATCTAGCTGATTTCCCCCAACTTACAGCATGTTTTAATGACAACCATACTACACAATTCTCATAACTTCATATGCATTAATGATATACATATATGGATAGAGAAATGACTTTCAGCAGATCAGTAACCTTTCCCCTGATACCTTACAAGGCATACTTTACATGTAAGATCACGATTATATGTAAATGTAAATGAGAAATATGGGGGTTACAGTACGCTCCCCCAAGGTACAGAGCGTCACAGTGAGACCCATGGCAATTGAGTGAGATGCCTTAAGCCTAGATTGGGGGGCTCTGATTAAGACCTTTAGCAATTTTAAAGAGCCACCATCCAGGCTTCAAATGTAGGTTGCTTGTGTTTTGAAAGAACATAAAGACTTATAGATATAGAAATGTTGTCATTTTTTTCTATAAAAAATACTGAAAAAAGTTTACCTGGAATTTTTTGTTTGGATTGACATATTTCCCAAACATTGAACCTTTGTGCAAATGCCTGAGAACCAGAAACCAAAACTAGCTACCATAGAGTTCCAAGAGCAAACAAGCAAAAGGTAAATTGGATTTAAAATCTTTAACTTTTAATAATTAACCTGCTCTTAGTACAAATGTAAAGAAACTTGTTTGTTTGGATTTTTAACTTGGCATTCCCACTTTAAGGCCAAAATTTGTTTTCTTTTTAAAATATCTCTCACTGAGACAATGCATGATCTACTGTCACTGCATTTTTATCCGGTCTTTTGAACTTGGTATCACTTCAATTAGTCACTATGATCTCTCCACTGAGACTGTAAAAGCGCCATTTGAGCCATTATGTTCTCAATGGAACTACAAGAGATACGGTCTGAGGTTACTCAATATGTGGAAATTCACCAAGCCACAGTGTAGCTTGATAATTCCTCAACATAGAGATTGCAGCATGTTTAATGCTAAATCAGTATTGCCCAGCTACTAGCGCTCTCACACTCTCACCTCTCGCCTAGATGTCCATGGGTTCAAGCTGTAAATCAGCACTTTACTCAATCCTCATGTTGAGATTACAGTACTAGAGTAAGGCAGCCTTCACCATCCTTCTCATTCAATACTAAATTGAGATCACTTCTGCCCACCTCTGGTACCTATCTACATGGAAATTAAAGATCCAAAATCACTAAAACAAAAGGGGTGTGTAGTGTGTGTGGTGGGGGGGGGGAGGGGGAAATCTTGGTGGCTTTACCAACCTTCTCTCTCTCTCTGTCCCTAAAACAGGTTCTAGGCCTTGATTCTAGGCACTTCAGCATGTGCTTAACTTTAAGCATGAGTAGTCCTACTGAAACCAACAGAACTACTCATGTGGCTTTGCTGAACTGGAGTCTTCTCCAAGAGATATGTGAGGGGCAGAGATGGGAACAAGAGACTGGAATCTTGACTCCCCCACCCTTCTCTTTATTAATCTGTCCTGTTGGGCCTAGTGATTGCTGGGAAAGTGGAAAATCCAGGTGCACAAAATATGCTAATAATAGGCAGTCTAGCCTGAAACTATCTGCCATTGTTTGTGTGCTTGGGTATTATGTAAATATAACTAGTTAAACTCGGGAATGTGAATTTCACTTGGGCGCTTATATACAGTGTACAGGACCAGGCTTGTCTTGTCTATTTCTATGCTGCTTGTTGGGTCAGCCTGCTAGCTTAGTGGTGTAACTGGGAAATCCCTTGAGACTGCAGGTTGGTGTCCCCCGGGCACCAAAGGGTAAAAATTCCACTTTCACAGGCTCTTCGCCCTTCACCTCCCCAGAAGTATCCCAACCCTGCCCGAGCCCATTAGCTGTAGCTCTTCCCCCTAATACCGGCTCTGGGCTGGCAGCAGTCGGGCCCGGAATGACTCAAGGGAGAGCGGCGATCAGTGCCCGAGCCCCTGGGAGCGCCCCTCCTCGCCTGCTCTGGAAATCCCTTCTCCGCCACCCCGCGCAGCGCACGGAGCTGCCGTGGGGAGGCTGCGGGGCTCGCTCGGCAGGGTCCCGCCGCAGCGCCCAGGGCAGGTGCTCGCCGACGGGTTGTTCCGGCGCCAGGTGCCCGGCCCCTCCCTGGCGCAGGTGAAGGCGGGGCGGAGTCACTTTCAGTTTCGGGCATTGTGGGAAGGCAGGATGGGCGGCGGGGCGCGCACCTGATACTGAGGGGGGAGCCGGGGCGAGCCGCCCGGAGCAGTGACCATGGTGAGTGGGGAGCCGCCAGGCAACGAGCCCCGGCCGCGGCGGGAACTGGGTGCCAGGAACTTCCCCCCCGGCCAGCAGGGCTGGGGCCACCCCCGCGCTTTCCTGGCTGGCACCCTGTCGTGTCACCCCGGGACGGGCGCTGGCCCAGACACCTTCCCAAGCTCAGCCTGGCAGGGCCGCCGCTGGGGCGAGCCGGCTGAGGCTCGGCGGGGCGCGGCGCGGGAATGAGCCCCCCGTCCCCTCCCTAGGCTGGGTTTGGGCCACACGGCCCTGGGAGCCTCCTATCACTGTTCAGGCCGGGCTGGGGGCAAAATCTGAAACAGAGGCTGCCCTCCTCCCCCATGACCCCAAAGGGGAGGCTGGCGAGATCCTGCCTGGGGCGCTCACCCAGTGGGTAGTGCTGAGCCCCGCTCTGGGCACTTCCAGCAGGCCCACGGTCTGGCAGTGCTGCTTGAGTTACGCCCCCTGGGTCACAACACCACTCCCTGAAACATGGTCCTGAGCGGCACGGCCACTGTGCGCACCTGCTCGCAACGCCACTCTGGGGGCCCTCACAAATGGGCCCTGGGCAAATGACCCCTTTTGTTCCCCAGACCCATAGGGGGTGACCTGTCTGCTTCCCCTCTTGTACTCTGCCCCAGTGATCAGAGCCTAAATCACATCACCCACCCCTGCAGCACAGTTCCCGCAGTGGGTGACATCTAACATGGTAGAGAACATCATATTTCTGTGACATCTACTTCTGTTTCTTGGTAGTCCGTGGAGCATGTGCTTTCGAGCAGACAGGCAGTGGTACTGTCTTTCTTTGCCTCTCAGTTTGTGGCTACATATGCTTTTGCATGTTATAGGCTTGCAACAGCTACAACTTCCCTGCTAAGGGCTGCTCTACAGGCAGAGTTCCATTGGTTTCACTTTAGGGCTCATTTTAAACTGACTTGGTTCAATTGATGCAAAAGGCTACATGGACACACTTACTTTGGTTTAAATTAGGGTTATTATAGTTTAGCTTAAGTCGATTAGGAACCAGTTTAAACTAAATTGAAATGTGTGTGTCCACGCGGGGGTCTAAACTGGTTTAACTAAACCAGAGCAGGTTTGTGTGTAGGCCAAACTTAAGGCCTCAATTTTCTAAGCTGTTCTGTGCCCACTGAAGTAAAATGTTGTTGTGTAGTCAGGGCCTAAGACACTCTCAATTCAAATTTGACCACAGAGATAAATATTGTGAAAACCTAAGACAAACAGAAATGTTTGCATGGCACGTCAACTAAAAAACAATCCAGTGGAAACAGGTTTTTTAAACAATCATTCGCTAACAGTCTTCACAGTACAAACATTCAGCATAGATACTAATTAGTGTATAAGGCCCTGAAAGTGAACCAGATACTAAACAAAGGTGAAATTGACTAGGTTAGGCCTCGTCTATACTAGAAAATCAAATTGCTTTGCTACATCGCTCAGGGGTGTGAAAAATCCACAATGCTGAGTGGTGTAATTAAGCTAAGCTAACCCCTAGTATAGAGCGCTCTAGATCGATGAAAAATTCTTCCCTTGGCCTAACTACTGCTTCTTGGGGAGGTGGATTACGTACGCCAAGGTAAGAACCCTCCCTTTGGTGTAGCTAATGTCTTCGCTGTAGTGTAGTGGTGCAGCTGTGCCACTGTCGTATTTAAGTGTAGCCGTACACTTATTTTCAGTCTCCACACTGAGAGAAATGGGAAGAAAAGTAATTCAGATGTTCAAAATTCCAGTTTTAATAATCTGAGCTGTTTTCTAGACACAGGAAAAATGTGCCTTTAAAGAAATCCAATTTTTTACATCAACAGTGTTCAGTATTGCTACCGCCAAGTGGTTTAAAAGAATAAATCATCCCCCTCCCCCCAATCATGAGATTTTTTAAAAGATAAATTTTGGGTTCTTTTTATTTGCCTCTGGCTTTCGAATCATTAGATTGTATGACAAAGCTTGGAAATGTGGGCAACCAGGAGGGTACACTCCTCAGATTTTCATATAACTGTGGAAGCTGGAGCTGTAAGAAAAACACCAAGTGTGAGACTCACAACAAAGTGACAAGAATCAGAAACACCAAGTGTCCCCTTAAGGCAGAACAAGTATCACTAGAGCAGAATGAGCCCTGCCGATTCTGGCTCTGATTCATGTGTGTTCTGGGAGACATTCACTTGATGAGTCCACAAGATTTGCCTTTTCCCTGCAAAACATGGACTAGATTTCAGGATGCTCCCTTCTCAGGATCTTCAGGTGAAGCTAGGTGGCTGCTATCCATCTTTTAGCTTGAAAGGGCACTGGGTAGGGGCAGCAGCCATCCATTCTGAAGGGTCATGAAGAGATAGTAGGAGAGGTAAGTACTCTCACTGCAGCTGGTCTCTACGCAGGGCCGGCTCCAGGCACCAGCCCACCAAGCTTGTGCTTGGGGCGGCACCTGGAGGGGGGCGGCGCGGTGCGGCGCTCCGGCTCCGGCTGCCGGGGAGAGCGGAGCCCCGGCCGGGACTTGC